AAAAAAAAAAAAATTAAAAAAGAAATAAAAAACCTGATTTTATAAAATCAGAATCTGGAGTCTGAAATAGCACGTGAAGAAAAAACCATAAACGCACAGCCCTATTTCATGAACAGTTTATTAAAACAAAAACCCCGATTAACAAATTAAATCTTCGCAATTCGAGTTACAAGACATTCGTACAAACAAAAGGATAGTTTTGATTTGATTTTACAAAAGGACCTCAGCTGAGATAGTTAACAACTTCTTTTTCAAAAAAACTCAATAAATGAAATGAGCTCATGCAATGGAAATGGACACTTCATGTTGATTTTATGTTAAGTGGTGAAGATGAACAATGCCCAGTTTCCTTGAAATTTGTTTAAACAAAAGGATAATTTTGATTTTAACCATAGGACTTCCACTGAGATACTTAACAAGATCTCTTTTGAAAAAAAAATGAATCAGATTAGTTTATACATTGGAAATGGACACTTCGTGTCCATTTTTATGTCAAGTGGTTAAGATGAACAATGTTCAGTTTCCTTAGACCATTAACATAAAGTACAACAGCATTTACAGTGACGACCATGAACACTTAACAATTTTTTGTACACATTTTTTTCGTGAGTATCCGATGAGAACCCATCCAAAAAACACCCAAAGGATTAGCGCTAATCCGTTTTTTATGAGAAGGTCCCTCACTAGCTTAGGTCACAAAAATAAAAAGAAATGCAAACCATTTCAATTGTTTATGGTTTCTCGATGTTAAGCCAAGTATGTTTTCAATATTTTTAAATGCAGTGTCGGAGATTACTCCGGAAATACGATAATTTACCAAAGATGTTGCGCTTTCAAATGATTGTTGCCGAGCGAAAGTGCCAGAAGTAGTTCGGGCAAATCGTCTTTGACGACTACAGACTGTTGCGTAGATTGTAAAAGCTGCAAGCCGCAAATAAATGAATTGCTTAAATATCACTTTTGCCGCTTCGGAAAATGCTCATCGTGGGTCTCAAATTTACATCATTAACATTAGACTCGTTTCATGCAGTGAATAAAATGACGATTAAACTGACTTTTATAAGATAAGGTTGATATTTTCCCATTAGCCAAGAAATTAAATTCCATGTGTTAGAGGTAAGCTTATTTTAAAGATTGCAAACCACTCACCGTTCTTCAAGCAGAGCACTCGCTAATGAAATTCAGTCACGAACGTCCCTTGTAGCATGCTGTCCACCAACGAGTAACTTCATAATATTGAGATTTTCACCGTTTGAAAAGAAGCTTTGACTCATATATTCTGTCGAGACAAACACAAGATAGAGACATACTGATTTTAACTACAATGTAATAAGTACACACTACAAGCAAATAAATAAAGCCTCTATTTATACCAAGAAACCGCAACACATCTTCCGACAAACACACGCTGATCGAAATACAGCCAATTTCCGTGAATAGCTTTACAAACGTCTTGTTGAGATAAAAGTTCATAGAACTTTATTTCTAGCAGCGTAATCGCAAAAAGAGAAGAAGCAATTCATCGTTTTCACGATTTGCTACAAAGGCGTCGAAAATGTGCTACCTTGAACGTTCTGCTAAAAAATTTTTCTCCTCTAAAAGTATGCTTACATTATATAAATTTCGATCGGTATTCAAATTTTCAGTCGAATATTGCGTTCGTGCAGTTCGCATCACTCCACAGTCGTCGTGCTAAAAGAATAATCAGCATCTGGTCAAGCTAAGAATAAAAATAAATACTTCTCTGAAATGTTTTCAAATCCAAGAACAAAAACGTTATTAAGCAAAGGAAGAAGAAAATAATTAGTTGGAAAGCATACATATCTGGCGTTCTGTAACCATGAATTATGAGACGAAATCTTCAGTATGACGAAGGAATCGGTAACATTGTCGTTCGGAGTTATGAACATTTTCCCAAATTAGGGATGTTATAAACATTCTTTAAAATTGAAAGCGAATTTTAATATCTTCAGCTAAGAACTTATTAAAGTTTGATTCACAGCATGAAATGTGACGTGCTTTTGAAATGAAGTGTAACCCATTGTATTTATTGCATAGAAAATTAAATGCGTTCGAGGCTCTTTTACCATAAAACGAATGCCCAAATGGAATACGTGCAACAATACTTATCGTATTTGCAAACTTCGCTTTTGTTAAGTAGGTATCGATGGAATTGACTTAACCAATGACAATTATTCCCATAATTAACACAAACCTTTTCTTCCAGTGCCAAGGCTTTGGATGTTCTCACTTTTGCTCCATCAAAATGGGCTAATAAACACTCAGGTTATAAAATATTGCTGGCAGTACCTGGAGTTTTATATCGTGCTAAAAATAATACTTGTCGGACTTCACGTGCCTGCACACACGTCAAATCATCCAATCCGCAGCCGGAACTTTTGAGTCGCAATTTCCGAAATAAACTTCCATCTCTTGTACTGGATATTCTTTTTCAAATTTCCATTTTTCATTTCCGAAACATGTTCATATCTCATGAAAGGGATTACAGCTAAACGTATTGCCCACACCTGCCTGTTGACTGATACCTGTAAATCTAATTTTTACGAATACACGGCGTCAAAGAAAGAGATCCGTTGATGTATAGATAGTAAGAATTATGACACCAGCCTAGATACAGAACAGGTAATCAGGGTTTTTGACAAAATGATTTTCAAAATTGGCTGGCTTGGCTAGACTAATTGTTAGACTCGAAGCAACTGACCGAGATCACGGAAAATTGTGTTTCAGTGGCCTAAGTTGACAATCCTTTTTCAATCACATGGTGAATTACGTGGGATTCCTCAGTTTCAAAATAGCAAAGGCGTGGAACAGCTATCAATTACTTTCAGTAGTTTTTTTTCCCCGTACACGGTACTTGTAGAAGAAAAATATATTTTTTTGGATTGACAACTCTATGTTTCTCACAGTCTTTCGACGTTGCACACTTCCCCTCCCACAAGTTTGCTTTGAGCTTCAGAATTTCTCAACGATTTCCATTTAATTATCTCAAAAGCTGATCTCGTTTTCAGCGCTGACAGATTTAAAGTTTCTGCTTTTTTGTGGCGCGCTGATGGTTGCTGCTTCAGAATGGAATAAATGAAAGTGCTGACCTCCGTCCATTAAGGTTTTCCTTTCGAATTCTGATCTTTTTGTAACAAAACATCTTGGAGTCGATAAGTTTTAATGAGTTATTTTGCATGCAAATTCATACAAATGCGGAAACTTGGAGTGGGAAGAATTATTTCTGAATTTCTGTCTTTATTTTAAAAGATAAATATGAAGTGTTACCCGAAGCTTGACGCACACAAAGATTGCGGAGTAAAATTACTAAGCCATGCCAATAATTAATATTCAATAAGATTATAACCCTACAAGCAGTTGTCTCGGATTATTTACATGGCATGGAAGTTTGTTGAATTTTTCTTTCTGAAAAAACTTAAAGCTGGATGTTATCATCTGTGGTGTCTTCACTCAGGGCAGAGCTCTCTCCGGGAGGTTAATCGAGCCATTTGTCCGGAAGACGCCTCTAGACATTTTGACTATGAAGCTACATGAATGGACCTTCTTTGTCTCAAACGTTCAAAAGGTTTCAGGAACTGATGATTAAAATTAAAAATAGCTTACTTCTCCGCGAACAGATCTCTGTTCTGGTTTTGTTAAGCTAAAAGGTCACGAAGTGGCCAGGACAACCACAGCCGAAATGTTTTGACAATGGAAGTGATCTTCTCAGTTGCATTGCTTCGTCATTGGTTATGAACCTAAACTCGCTGCCTTAAGATCTGTCGTTTGCAATCTTGCGCAATGCTCCCACATTACAGCCTTTCTTCTTCCTTTAATTTGGCTCGTTATTCAGTTCCCCTCCGTTGTTTTTCTACCTTATTAGTGAGCTATTACCGTCTCTTGACGTTTTCTTCGATTGAAAATATTATACGATGATCGACTGGCTGTAGAGAAAGTAAATCACGATCACACTGTTCTGAAACTAAATCTGAAGTTGTAAATTGATTCGCACTTCCTTCATTTTTGATGTTCTGAATCAACTGTGGAAAAATAAACTGGCATCGGGTTCAACGTATTCTGTCGACATCTGGTATTTTTTCGCCAGATTGAAAGCTTTTCCAAGCAACCGGCTTTTAATAGACGCTTTGTAATTGCTAACATCACCTTCGTTGGTGTTATTTTTTCGCATCTCAATTATGATTGCTTTCATCACTTGAAAATTTTGCCGTATTCATTCGGCGCTACAAGAGCAATTATCGTTTGATTAACGTTAAAAGGTTAAAAATAGCAAGGAATACACATAGGAAGCCCATACTCTTAATCGCGGGCTGAAAATGAAATTAAAACCGCGGTAAATGAGTCACGAAAAGCTTCTTGCTGTCGAGAATCAGAAATATTTTAGTGAATCCAATGCTCGACTCGGGGGACGGATAGTCACGCTAACGAAAAATACCTAACCCTAACCAATCAAAATTTGGAATTTAGCAATTGACGATAAAACAACAGCAAGGGTAATATTTAACTCCTTTTACCACCTCCCTCCTTTTTAACTCGTGAGTTGTGGATATCAAAGAGCGAGTTGCTGCGATAAAGGCAGCTTGTTTGATCGATAGGCCGATAGGTTATGAAGCCCTGAAAACTTCCAAGGAGCAAACAAAAACGTCCACATTCAAGTTGGAACTGGTGCACGTCCGCGCAAATTTTGTTTTGCGCTCGTACACTATTCATGAATAACGTCGAATTATTTGAAGTCTCTCCGACGTATTCAAGTCAAAGTTAACAATGGGAGTCACGTCTTTGACACGCACGATTAGTTTCAATTACTTAACAGTTGACCAATCCAATCCTTTCCCGACGGGGAAAAACAAGAGTCAACACAAATGCAAAAACCAGTTTTGGTTTTAAAAATATTTGGTGTTTCAAAGCAAGGTTTTACAACAGAAGGGTCCAAAAAAAATCAATCTGGATCAAATTTTAATATTACACTTGTTGTCCAAGGAGCTTAAAACAGACTAAGTCAATTCACGAAAGAAAACTCTAATTTTGAACAAACAATACATCGAGGTAGATTGTTACGGTCATGTTTCGTTGTAGGATGAATTTAAAGAGAATTATCTTTCCATAGAGTGGTTTCTTGTTTTAGACGTAAAGTTTCTCGTCGTTTCTTGTTTCTGACTTAATGTTTCTCGAAAGTTCTATGCGATCGGCAATTCTCGGTATGCAAAATAGAGACAAAACAAGTTGGAAGCGATAATCCAAATAGGAACAAGAATTGGATAAGATTAGGGGTGATTTAGGACTACACACAGTCGTTTTGTGTTTCTGACGTAATGTTTCTCGTCATTTCTTGTTTCTGACGAAATGTTTCTCGAAACTTCTATGCGATCGGCAATTCTCGGTATACAAATTTGAGACAAAACAATTTTGAAACGACAAAACCAAATAGGAACAAGGGATGGATAAGATTAGGGGCGTTTGAAACTGACTACAAACGAAGACTCGCAGCAAAAAATGTAAGTAAGTCTTTCTACTACGGGCCCTCCACGACCTAGTAGTCCGTTTTCGGATCCTTTGGACAAAGACAGAATCAGCATAGATTTGACATTAAAGCGAAGTTTAAGAAAACCAAGCTCCTCACCTCTTTTACCGCTTTTTTTGTTCACTTTACCCAGAGTGTCGACATGGGGACTGGTACGTAGCTCAGAAAAGACGCGTTTTTGGACTGATATCGTCGAAAATTCAGGTTAATAACTGATATCGTCACCCTTATCCAGACCCGCTATCCAGTATCGGGACATTTGATACGATAAACATGTGCTTCTATTTCTTTTCAGCTGAACAAACAACATGGTACATCGAATATCACTAGGTTCTAGTGTTACGTTATTGGAATGGTAGATTTTAATCGATCTTTATTTTTTTGTTCTGGGCCGGGTTGTTCGAAACCCGGTTAACGCTAACCCAGGAGTAAAAGTTAACCGAAGTATTAATTTTTCTTGCTTAAAAATGTTTTTTACTGCTTACGTTTTGTGTACTTTGAGCTTAGTCAAGCTCAAAGCTGAAGGACAAACAGCATGAACAGAAAACCTCACCGAAAAGTTACAAAACTCAAATCAAAATTCTGGCTAATCCTGGGTTAGCTTAATCGGGCTTTCAACAACCCGGCCCTGAACGTTAATAAAGTAAAAAAGTAAAATTCTCCTTTTGACACGTCTCGAGGGACAGCAGATGAAATTTTGACTCTCCATTCACGATACGTTCGCGTGGTTTTGACATAAAACCATTTACGTGTCAAGAATGTCGATCTGAGCATATTTAATAAGTAAAACAAAACTGAGTTGCCGTGTTCCGTTTAACTTGGTTATGTTTTGACCTATTTGTATCTGTCTGAAACGGAAAAGCTTACTTTTTCTTGACACGGTACGAAAAGGTTTTGTCTCATACGCAGTCCTTACTTTTTTACGTGGAACAGCTTGAATTTCTCCGCGATAAGATTTGACGATAAAACTGTCGAAAGGCAGAAGCGAAATTTGCATTTAATTCCAGTTTCGTGTCGATCTGTCGATATTCTATACAACTGTGTGACGAGGTATTTAGGCGTTGTTCCATAGTTCGCCGTCGTAGAAATTGCAAAACGCACTCTTGGAATGCTTTTTTATCGCCAGAGTTGGTCATAGGTGCTTAAAAATAATTGTTATACCTCCCAACTAAAATACGTTTTCCGATTGGAGGAGAACGTGTAACGTAACGTGGGTCAAAACTCACTAACTCCCTAGGACGAACAAAACTAACTAACTTCCTAGGGAAACAACAACTTTCGACTCTCACGTTATCAGGTCGTGCACCTTGAAACCACGCCATTTTTGCTGCCTGCGATTCCAGGTTGATAGATATGTTATTCTCCAGCTACCCATGCAACAAGATTTCACTGGTAATGTCGTCGTACAACAAAATGAAAAGAACATGTTGATGAGGAAACATCGTGGCACGGTTGTTACGTGTTAAATCGTTTCTCTTTTGTTTTACCGTGCAAACGTATCGTGCGCGTATTATCGCCAAAGTTACTGAAATCCAGTTGAGGGTCACAATTTAATACAATGTTTTATTTGTTAGGTTATGACAGGAGCCATAATCGGGGACGGAGATCGTAAGCGCGCGCTTTTTTTAGTATTGGGGCTTTTTCCTATAATATAGGACAATTTTGCTATTTTAAAAAAAAAACATTGCGCCATCGCATTCGATTTCGCTCAAATTTTTATGGTAGATAGGCTAGGGCATGACAAAAACTACTGGGTAGTTTTTTGGCAAAATGTCCTTTTATTTCAAAGAAATAGGCAAATTACCAAATTCCGTTAAAATCGTCATTTGACGCACCATTATTAGACAAGTTCGAGAGCCTCGCATGCAAAACCAAATTATTCTTCAGTCTTTAAACACTCAAATAGTTTTGTGCAATTTTTAAATGTGTACTGGGTAGATTATGGGAAATGTTGCGGTATCTTTTTGGGTGCAACATAATTAAATTTCGAAGACATGTATTCATTCACTTAAAAGTACTTCGTAAATATAATTAATTTTCACCATGTGCGAAACCTTCAAATGGATTAAGCTTCTGGTGGTTGAATCGTAGAAGGATGGTCTACAGATTCCTGTCACAATTTCTTTGGGCAAATGATTGTGAGCGACGCGAGAGCTTTTCAAAATACGTTAAAAATTGAAATATTTGACCTTCCGTCGTCAAATTTCAATTTACGGGTTAGACATATATTTTAGCATGCGCCACGTGTCTTGACCTATATTAAGTTGAAATAGACACGGAACCGACAATTTCGAAATGTTCTTACCTTGTTTGCTGTAAAAGGCAGGTCCAAAAGCCGATTTAACGTGTTTCTCTCGCCATTCGTCGCATATAAAGCAGTAAAGTTGTTTTCTGTTTACACTAAGTATGTCCGATGTACATCGCCAACTGTCAACGTATTTGACGGTCACGGTCGAATACCATGAATCCGTGATCACCTTTCGGTGCATGTGATCGCCACTACATCTAAGTCAAAAACGGATAAGTCATTTGTAGATAGTTGCTTGCTTTGCCCTGCACCAAAGTGATCCAGCTGTTGATTGATTGCTGCTTGAATCCTTGAATCTCCTTATTTGTTCGTCACGCAATGCTGTCATCCCATATTTAGGGGGTAGGGGTGGGACAAGTTTCTATCCTATGGCTTGGAACCACAGGAAGCGAACACAGAATCTTGATGAGTAGCCTGAGAGAGTAAAGGAATAAAGGAATGAAAAGAATGAATAGTTTACCATTGTCTCCTTTTGGGGAGAGTACAAAACATGGACCCCCTCCGTGGACCAGGTCCATGGACCGGGTACATCAAAATATGGACTGGATCCATGGACCCCCTTTCGTGGACCGCGTCAAGAGAAAATGACGGGACGGAGAGGGAGATTGAGGGAGTTGGCTGGGATAAGTCGATTCCACTAAAGTTATTTTAGTTTTAGACGGAAACGGAAGTCTATTTCCCCTGACGTCCCTATGATAACTTTCAGCCGTTGATCTGGGAATTTTAAATGGCGGTCTGCGTGGAAATACGTTTTGTCAGTAGAGGCGCCTTAAGAAAAATGATAGATTCTACAACCTCCTTGGAATAAAAACGCTGGGTGAAAGAAATATCAAAGTCTGTCCCCTGAGAATTTGAATCAACGAAAACAGTGATGACAACAAGAAAGAAGTTATTTGCTTTCGTTTGTATAACAACACGTAGAGAAGTGTCAAATTGTGACATAACATAAAACTACCGTGATCTAATCTAATCTGTAGCGATCCTAACATCTCTAAACGCAGCGACGAAAGAAATCTTAGCCCACCGAAGAAACCTGTTTTGGTTCCCACGGCAAAACTCTTTTTAAACCCAGCGCCAAATTGCTCTCAACCCAACGACAGGAGTAATTCTGGCCGAGCTGCAAAACAATTCGGATGGTAGCTAAAATATTTTGAATCCAGAAAACAAAACACCTCGAAGCCTAGCGACTAGCGACAGAAATCAATTTGAATCAGGAGCTATAATCCGGGACGGAGACTATAAGCGGGCGCCATTTCTAGTATTGGGGCTGTCCCTATGATATGGGGCAATTTTGCTTTTTTTGAACTAATTGCGCTATCGCGTGCGGCACACGTGCGTACATGCTGCAAAGATTTTTGCGGATGTCGCGCGGGGGAAAAGGCGTCCGAAATTTCCGAAATTTCTTATGCTTTTGGACCACAACCAGGACCCCATCAATGGGCTCCTGCCCACAACTCAATACGTTTATGTCTGGAATTTTGCTGAAGTATTTTCGTCCTAAGTTGCTCTAATTAGAGTGAAGTGGGACAGTGTCGAATTTAGGTATGTTCCGCTTTATATCACTGACCAAGTTGTGTTCCGCTGCTTCTTTTACAAGAGCTCTACATTACTCCACTACAAATTTCACGTATGTTGAAGATTAACAGCTTTTCCATGACACAGCAAAAGACTATTTGAATATAGTTGGATATAGCAGCGTTTATGGACTTTAAAGTTTCCCTCCTCTTGTCACACACTTGCGGGAATTTCGCCGCAGCCTATCGCGACCGAAAAGTTAAAAAAAGCATGGGTTTCGCCTGAATTGAAAGCAACGCTTGATGTTTCATCAAGGCCCATTAAGTTTACGTCTGTAGATACTGCTCGGTTTTGTTTGTGTAGAAATCCGATGAATTGTCGGTTGTCGATGAATAAGAGCGCCCGCCGATGTGTGTTTTGTACAGTCAGAAAACCACAGGTCAACCAAGCGTAATATAAGAGTTTGTATGGATAACTGAGTAAACAGGACAAATTGGACTTCCGCACTTTCGTGTGAAAACGTACATCAAATTCATACAATATATCTAGTTGTGTGACCTACACAAAGTGTGTAGCCACATTATGGCATGATCGGATTTATTTGTTTTTAAATATGTTTAAGGTTGATAAATGTTTGAGAACATATTTAAAGCTTAGATGAAAATATGTGAATAAAATTTCACTATGTTGAAGAAACACATATGTGGTTAGTAGCCTTTTGGCCTTGGTGAAAATAGTTGCAGCATCTCAGCACATGCCCAAAACATGAAGATAACGAATGAAATCTTTGTAAAGATTTGTTGACAATTGAAAACACCGACTCGGACTTAAAGGTGCACGCGCAGCCCTATGCAAATGAACTACTTGTGCGCGTCAGAATTTCCTTTTACTGAAAAACTTTTGCACACTCGCCAAACAAGCAGGAACAATAAGAAGCTATCAAAAACAAGTTTTGATTATGATTAAGCATTGTTTGAGAAACTCGCAAATTAACTCGATGCCAGAGTAGAGAGTTTTCTTACATAAGCTTTGTTAAGTCAAAACAAACGCAAATACGCGTACAACTAGCGCGAGCAGATATCATTTATTCACAGCGCGAAATCGAAGTCTGGTTTTCGACCCTGAAAAACTCACCTTTCCCATTAGGTCAGAGCATAAAACTACACAAAAGCGCCCTAGTTCTTATTCCCTGCCTTATTCTCTGCCATCGCAGTGAAAAATCCGCAAGACAATCTCGCAACTCTCCCCATTTGAATTGATAACGCAACACGACAAAATCCACGCGAGAGACCCACGACATGTGCGTGGATCCGCGTGGATATATGTCGTCCGGGTGGCGCAATTTGTTCTAAAAATAGCAAAATTGCCCCATATCTTAGGTGCGCGCGGATTCCAAGACCTACGGTCTCCATTCCCGATTATGGCTCCTGGTTATGATCACTGTTTCTAAAACTCTCAAAAAGACATACGTAGAAGAGGTTTGCTACGTAATGAAACTATAAATAATTGCAAAAACAAAAAAAAAATTGACAAACTTAAAGCCATCTGGTTAAAAGTTTAAAAAGTTAAAATTTTTCGAGAACGTTTCGACGTTCGCTTAACGCCATTATCAAGTCCGGATGAATAAAATTGTGGGCGAATAAATATGTAAATGTAAAAGAGTCCTGAGAGACACTTACTAGTATAATAAAAATGTGGTGATGATGTCATCAGATATTAGCACGCAAAGTGACGTAAAACGTTTGGAGCGAATAGAGTCTCTTTGAGTGTTTAACACAGGTTTCAACTCTTTAAAGAGGAGCATCTCAAAAATTTAGCAATCAAATTTCGATGTGCACTTTTTCAAGACGTGTAATCCTCTTCTTAAAGTTTTAAACGGATGGTTTTAAGGTTGTCAAAAAAATTTTCGTAATTATAAAACGATATCTCAATCAAAACGAAAATTCCATGTTGGTAGAGGAATTCATTACTAACCCTATGGTGACTAGTCACTTTATTTTTTAAGCCCACATAAATTATTTTTCACTGATACATGTATAATCTTAAATAAATCGTATGCTGATCAGGGTAATATATTTATATCTGGTCTTCTTTAAACTCTTTAAAGTTACTTCTTCTCTTAAAGTTCAGTTTAAGTTAGTTATGAAGATAATTTAGAGCAGTCACGCACAGTCTGTGCCTGTTACCTCTTCAGCTCGCTACTCACTGATTATTTGCGCGTGGCTTTTATATGACTTACGGAAAACAAGCATTCACTTTGTTTGGTAGTCCTGAATTGTCCAAACGCCTCAGTATCTGCCAAACAGCACACGCAAAAACAACTAGTTTTACAACTAGTCATCAGGACCACTTGCGAGGGATACGATTTGATTTCGAATTCCTTCCATTTTTTCAGCATCTTGGATGGCTCTCTGACATTTTGATTGTTTTCCAAAGTCATACAAAAGCAAATAAACGTAAGTTTACATTTTGCAATAATTTACATTTTGCACGGCGATTTTATCCTTCCTTTCTTTTTTCCATCATGTAATTGATTTATTTTATTCCTAATTTTATTTTGTTTTGATTTAACTGTTAAAGTTTTCGCGTTATTCCGAGGGTTGTAAACCCGGGCTACCGACGTTCATTGTATGAAACAGACAGTATTCCAGAAGCTCTCTCTTTAGAACTTTACACAAAACTTTCTTGCACATCATCAAGTAAATTGCTGTTCGTTGTGCTGGTCGACATCACTTCAGGTGTAGAATGTTCTTCAAGCCGTACTCTTTCAAACGTTCCGCCCTCGTCCCCCACCCCCAGATCACCTTCCGCAAGATGATCCTGAAAATGGTGGTCTAAAAGAGCTTCCATGTTTGGTGTCCTCCTTCTCGCTCGGAATCGATCGCTGGGATCTACAAGTCTCTCCCAAATGCTCGTGAAATACGGCCGATAGTTGCCGTAGTTACTGTTTCTTCCCCCTACCCCCACGTCCACCTCGTCAGGATGATCCTCTGAAGGATCAGCTAACAGAGGCTCCGTGTTTGGAGTTCTTCTCCTGCGATAGTGATCTCTGGGATCGTCTAGTCTTTCCCAGATGTTAGTGAAGTGCGGATAACTGTTGTCCTCGCACGAGCACTTGTAGCCTCTATTGAGATCATTATAGTTGGCATCTTGTGCGACTGTGTCGTCGAAATCGGATCCAACAAACGAAATTGAACGACGTAGCTCTGTTCCAATATCGGATAAGCTACGCTTGACATCGTCCAAGCCATTCGCCAACTCTTCTTCACTCTTAGTTAGGTCTTCCATTGAGACCAGTTTAGCGAGCTTAGCGTTGTCTTCATTTAACTCGATACCATCGTCAACAAAGAAATCCTGATTGTTTTCCGCTGGTACTTTCACGCAACTTTCAATGTCTTCGATTTTTGGCTTCTTCTTGGCTTCTCGAAATTGTACCATTTTCTTGAAGAACATTGTGAATTCACTGCGAAGGTACCCGACCCGCGTGGTGAAGTAGGTTTTCATAAACTCCCCGAGCTCCGCATCCGCAAAACTGTCTCCCTCTACTTCTTTGACCTCTTCATACGAGTCGTTGAGTATGGCAAGGAACATGTTCAGCATGATCATGGACATGCTCAGCATGTAACAGAACACAAAAAGAGGTCCCACAATTCTACTGGTCTTCTTGAGCTCGTGGAAGTGCGTTTCACCTCCAAGGACCATCTGGCAGACAGATCGCATAGACTGAAAGAAGGAAGAGTACGCGGGTACGCTGGCTCCGAAAACAAGAACTCCGAGCTGAGTGTAAGCCAGGATGATTGCGATGAAGACCAAGAAGAATGACAGGAGGTGATTGAGAGATCTTTGTATGGTGGCAGTCATTTGACAGATATGACGATTGAATCGAATAAGTCTGAGGAATTTCATTGTCACAATAAAAATAACAAAAGCCAGCAAGTAAATTTCGAGATCGGACCACAACACAATATAATCAGTGCTGGAAGTTTGAAAAGGATTATCCTGAACGCGTTTTACATACTCACTGGTGTACATTTCCTTGAAGAAGAACATCACAATAGCTGCGACAGCACCAAAGATCTGTAGCAGCTCCATCCAGTTCCAGAAGAGCTTGAAATACCCGCATCTCTGACGATAAATCTTTCCGATTTCAGCGAAGAAAAAGAACAGGATAATTAACATAAGCAACAACTGACAGAGCTGGAAAAACGACTTAAAAGTGGGATCGGGCGAAGCATATAGTGTCAAGGTTTTGATACTTGTCGCGGTGTTGTATCCGCCTGTCGGCAAACGCTCAAACAAGTATTTCACAACGCTAAACAGAGCACTTGCTGGTTGGTGGACTGTAAACTCAACGAACACCGCCGCTGTCAAGTCGTTAATCCAGTTATTTTTCTCCAAGGTGTCCAAGACCTTCCGAGCAGACCGTGAGTTGTAGCCGAGGTCGGCGACGAACCCACCGCCACCGTACGAGCTCTGCAGTCCTTGCGCAGAGAGAGTGGTTAAATTATCTGCAGTTCGATAACGCCAGGGCTTGGGACACATGTCATACAGATCAAACATAGACAGCGCTTTACTTGTGTTCTCTACAGGGAGCCAACCTGGTTGATTGAAAGGGGTCGAGTCTGCTATTTTGTCCGCGTAAACAGACAGGCAGCGGCGGAACTGGTGAGCCAAATCCGGATGGTTCGGTTCCATCACACATCTCTCTTCTGCAATTAATGGAAAATTAAGAAATGTTTAGACTACGTAGGTAATGAAAACTTGTTTTCCAAACCAAATGACATGGCAGTGGAATCAAGTGAGTTTCAGCACAAAAAATATTCGAAGCAATCATCAAACAAATAAATAAGGTCTGCAGTGATTACCACCAACAACCACATAGCTAAATAACAATGGCTTTATAAATCACATTTTTACCATCCACCAACGTGTGATTGCAGATGTCTCTATACCCGGGAATGGTAAGGGAGGGAAAGGTCATGTAGGAAAGGGTAGGGCGGGGTGCGGTAGGATAGGTTAGTGTTAAGGAGAGAATGGTACGGTAAGGAAGTGCGGGTAAGATAGGAAAGGGTGGGCGTTCGGGTGCGGATAGGCAATATAATAGCTATGTAGGGTAGGATTGGGGTAGAGAATATTTATGTAGGTAAGGTAAAATATGATACACTAAAGTGGGTCAACGGGAGGAGCATACAAACGCAGAAAATCTTTTAAGCTGTTTTGGTGTTTTCAAAGCATTAACCTTCATTTGGTAATCTCACCTGGTCTAATGCGAGCTTGTCTAAGGCGTGGCATCCCCACCATGAAATTCTCTCTATTACTAATAAAACCTTCCTTGTACTCGAACTTCTCGCCATTATACCATGTGACATCATACAGGCCAGGCACTAGTATTTTGTTTGTCCATTTCCAGAACGCTGCTGGGTTGTTCACCTTGCGGATAAAAGAACAACGTTTTAGGGATTCTGTATCTGACTTTAAAGTATCTATTTTCATTGGAAACTATCACACAATATCACTAAGACTGAACTGAAGACTCGGCAATCGGTTATGTTGCCACGAATTACACTCAGACAACATTTGCGGGTGTTGAGTGTTGGGCGCAATCCTTGGCTTCTCCCTTCCCCCCCTCCAACCCCCTCCCTCCCTCCGTAATCCCCAATCCCCAACTCCGCTAAGTACAGCGTGAGTGAATATAATAAACAACTAGATTATGAACTCGAGATTTCCATGCAAGATTTCAAGCATAGAAATCGAGAGCGAATAATCTAATTGTTTTAGTATAAATCACTAGTCGTTGAAAACGTTATCTAAATCCTCTTCACAGACACTTCGAAAACGCCAAGAAGCGGCCATCATTTTGTTAACAAGGGCACAATGCTACGCACGTAGCCAATTAGCGAACGGCATTCGCGATTCGTTATGCTAATGGCAGATAGCAATACGAGTAAGAGACTGAGAACTGTCTAATGCGACTTTCGAATTTAAACGTAGAGCCCTCACTAACCAGTCGAAATTAAAACTACGTTGATAAAAACTCGATGTGAAATGTGAATATCGAAAGCATGAGCAATGAGTTTCAAAAGTCGCACCCGTAACCAGTCTCCGCCTCGTTCATCGATCTACAAGTCCCTATTGGTTTTAAATTATCATTTGTAAAAATTTCAAGAAATAAACATTGCTCTGACGACCTTCCCCAACAGAAACACTGCTAGACACACTTACCTTATCGAATCCGTTAAACAAATTCTCTAGCTCGGTGGTCAACGTAAACCGGGACGTCTTTCTATTCCCGTAGCACACGACCATCAGAAAAGCAATAAACATAAAGAAAAATCCCATTTCGATGATAGTTCTGAACATTTCTAACACTTTCTTCTGAAATTCGCGCGCTTTTCTGAGCGCCTCGCCCTGCGGCGGCGCCACGTGGCTGTCCTTCCCGCCACTTCTAGATATGGAGGAACCAAATACCTCCTCCTGCTCTGGAGGCTTTTTAATGATGAGTGACAGCAAGGACGCAATCAATATCACCTTGATGGGTTGAGTGATTACGACATCTTGAAAGAAAGAGACCATGATTGACGTGAGCCAACTGTTTGATGTCTCCGCCCCCCACATTAAGCTGTAGAATACGGTGAAGGCACCAGCTGCTAGGGAAGTGAGTAAACACAATGTCCAACCTACGTACACGAAAAAATGAGGAAGACAACCGGGCACTTTCCCGTCGGTTCCTCGAGCATCTTCCGGAAGTGGGTGTTTAATGTTCTTAAAGATCATAACAACTAGTACGTTAACCGGAATTGCAATAATGCTACTTTGAATTCCAATCTTGATTTGCATCCAGCTCAACTTGATTGGCCCGATTTGGAAAGTATCTGCTGGTGCTTTGTCGAATTGATAAAACATTGCGTTTGTTACAAGAGTGGCGAACAAAATTGATAAGCAACACGTTAACCGCTGGCAACGAGTGAATGTATTATGCGGAGCCCTGGTGAACACAGAGAGCCACAAATGACCATCGCCCAGGCTTCGCGCGGTCCTGGAGTAAAATAGATTTCTAAATCCCGCAAGTTCTCTTTTATCAGCAACTTGAAGTTCGACCTCTATTTGGCCAGTTCCTTTTTCCACAGCCAGCCAGCGATTGCCCAGAAAATGCCACTTTTCCCCAGTTTGTTTGTCCACAATTTGTACTTGCTGGAAGAACCAGGCGGGGCTCTTGCCACTGTTGTCATGCCAAATCTTAATCTTGACCAAGTTGCCCAGCGACTCTGGTACAGACAGAGTAAAGTTGTTGATACTCCCACGAGCAAAGAATATCTTATTCAATTCCGGATCCGACAGGGGTAGGGAGGGGGTGACACCTTGCTCTCCATAGATGATCAAGCCAATGTTAGCAGTTGTTCCATAGCCCTTCCACATTCCAGTCTGAACGGAGATTTCATACACGTAGCCTCCCTCTGTGTTCTCAGTCAAGTACACATTAGCTACCACCTGAAATAAGAAATTATATTACTTCCGTAAGTTACAAACACTTTATTATTATTATTATTATTATTATTATTATTATTATTATTATTATTATTTTCAATTTAAAAGCAATACACATAGGAAAATCTAAACAAAATAAAAGGAGGAAAATAGTAATATTACAGTGAAGACTGCTTACATCGTTTAGTTTACATAGCTAAAACAATACAGTTTGGAAATGTAGCGAGTGCAGCGTTAGTAGAGCTGCCTTTTGTTTGAAACTTTAAAAGGAAAAACAACTGGACATTTACAAACTGTATTGTTACAAACACACTATCATCCTGTTTTAGTATTGGCAAGGTTTGGACACCGGCAGTTTCAGTTTCGGAATTGAAACATTGCACCTACTCAAAAAGGAACTTTAGATTTATGATTGTCTATTGCAGATAAATTTAAGCACCCGTGTGTAAGCGAGGTTGTATCATTAGTTATTAACCGCTCTCAAAATGCAAAACAAAGCAAAAGCAACACCAGGGGGATTCCTGGCATCTAATCCCATCTAAAGGTTTCGTATTACGAAATCCAAGACCAGGGACTCGTTTCTCAAAAGCCCCGAAATCTTTTCGGGCCCGAAAAGCCATTTTTAGTTAATCGGTATTTTAAGACAGAGAGGTGTATACGCCTTAAACTTCTTGTATGAAGAGAACCTCTGTTCGTATTAAGAATATGTGAATAAAACAGCTCTGTAGTCAAAAGGTTTGAGATTTTGCTACAGCTTTTCGGGACCTTCGAGAAACGGGCCCCAACTCCGTCGATATGAGACGTTTTGTACCAATACAAACTTTACTTTTACTTTAAAAGAACTAAACGTTCCTACCTTCATTTCGTCCTTTTTGTCTGCTTTCCTAGCAAATACCAGGCCAATAAAGTACAGTCCAAATATGGAACAAACCGTGGCAAGAACAACAAAATTACCACTCTCTGCCAAATTACCAAACTCAGCCCAGACCTTGTCAAAATCAATGGGATTCGGTGCAACGAGCAAGTCTCCACCGAATGCAGAAAGATGAGTGCAGAGACAGTGGAGATTTCCGGCTCCCGTCTTGGGCCCAACCTATCGCGAAACAATAATGCCTTTCTTAAACACATATGGTAAATACTGCACATATTAAGGTGGTTGGCAACAGTTTCAGGCACTTTCCAGCAAATATAGTTTAAAGGATCGATATATACTTCCACATTAACTGATATTAGAATGCTGATAATACAGCAATGCTCAAAACACCGTTAATTTAATTTTTAAGAGCTTAAAACTTAAAAACGGCTTTCAATTGTAAATTGTACTTACCACAATAACATACAAATTAAAAAAGCAAGCTGTCGAGGGTGTTCAGAACCATCTTAGATGTTCGAAAGTCTAAGGTAACCCTGAGGTTGATTCCTCTGGCTCGAAATGCCTTATTTGATCGCTGGCTCAGCTAAGAATTATGCTTTACATACGTGACTTCACGTATGTGACTGCAAACAAGGCCTGTTATCTGAGGAAACAGCATATCACGTTTAATAACCATGCAGTGTTACATACCTTACAGCCATAATCTGTCCACGCCTGCTTTGTCTCAGACCAGTACAAACAACTTGTAGCAGTCACAGACATCGTGTAGTTAACGTCCGTGCTTGCGTTATACTTCGGTATTACTATCTTAGCTGTTGGGGGAGGGGTGGTTGGTGGATCCTTGACACCAATACAAGAGCGCTTCTGCCGGCCTCCTTGACCTCCACACCCTCGTCTTACACGATTAGCTGCTGTCTTAACTTCCTCCTCCAAATCCGGAGATCCCTCACTTTCAGGTCCGGGGAATCTGATCCCGACATAGTGAACACCCACGTGGCCAGTTTGAGCGCTACTTATGCTGAACATGAAGGCTTTAGAGCTGCAATTAAAGCTAGTTTCGGTTCGGTTGCAGAACTCAATTTTGGGAATAATCACATTAAAGCTGTGCTCTGTAACTGTCGGTTTTGTTTTGTATCTGACATACACTTCCAGAGACGCTCCCTCTTCCGGCCTCACTTCAATGAACATAGAAGAGCTCTCTGAAGGAATCACCACTTTGTGATAGCGGAAGTTGTTTGATCCGTCGCTAGGTTTGGCAAAGTATACAGTCGCCGTCTCGTTACCTTTGTCTTTGGTGTCTTCTTTCTGAGGTATGAAGAGTTCCACTGGGTCTGGAAGACCCGAGACTTCCAAAGCACTGCCGTCAGCCGTTTTCAAAGAGAAATCGATCACTGATGACTTGATGTTTTTTGAGCTCGTGTCCCAGGTGTAAGGATTGTCTTGAAACGCAAGCATCTACAAACAGATGTAACACTAGTTTAGAACAGCATCACAATCATTGCAAAGCATTTAAGCTTAAAGTACATGGTTCTTCAATAATAACAGATCTTTATACTTGGTATTTTTGTCCAGTAACAGTTCAGATCCACGCTTAAACTTATTAACTTCAACCTTGCTTGGAATAGGAAAAACATTTTGTCACGCCGTCATTTTCATAATTATTCAATAACATTCGTCTAATAAACACAATGATGTCTTAGTAAAAGCTCATAGCAAGAAATAACAGGTATTTTACGTTTAAAGATGGACCAAATTAACGATGGACCAGCGGTTACATCAATTAGACGCAGTAACACCTCTCGTCGTGTATAAAAAGCCTCCTTAAAATTATTTTGAACACATTGAAGCCAATTTGAATTGAACTATGACAAAATACAACCCACAAGGAAACAGGAAAATAGGTAGCCTAGGTGTGGAGAGAGCTTGCTTGCAGCTAAAACAAGATGCCTTCCCAAAATACTTGGAATCGGTAAACAGTACAAGTCGAGTAGCGAAGTACTTGAACAGGTAACCCCTTCCACAGAGTAAAGATAGTAAAAGCCGGAGAACCAAATAAGGTAAAAGCCGGGGTGGCGTATTGACACCCTATAGTGATCAAATGATCCATGATGACACGGTTCAATAACAGAGAGACGTAATTAATTGATCTCTTCGCGGCTTTTACCTGTGAGTCTACTGAAGGAAGACTCCCGGCCTTGTCTCCAAACAAAGTAGAGGCCGATGGTAGTGCCACACCACCGTCACCCTCCCCGTCGCCGAGTTTTTTGCCCCCAATCTTTGATGGTACTTGTCTGTCCAACATCATGGCTAGGGACTTGGTCTTGAACACACTCGGCTTCTCGCCAACAGCTTTGGTGCCTAACAGGCTGGAGCCAACCTTATCCATTAACTTCAGAGTCTTTTCGGCCGTCTTCTTACTCTGAGAGTGAGAAAGATACCGCAAGCTCACGCAAACAGCCATTATTTTATAATTATTATTATATTATCATCATCATCTTTTCCTTTTCCCCGCAAGGGAATAGGATGGGATGATAACATCAGACCCTGTTCAAGATACGTCTACTGTAGTTCCAAATCCAAACTTTTTTTTCTCGTTTTCTCAGTTTTCTTTTTTTTTTTGTTTTGCGTCATGTTAAGATGGCTAGATATTCATTTGTAACGTGTTTGTGGCCCGAAACATAACCACACAAAAACGAACGAGGCCAATATCCAGCCATCTTGATCGAAGAAGCTTGGTCAATAAAGTACACTGGAACCCCGCCTTGCGACCACCCCGTTAATACGGTCACCTTGTTATTACGGCCATTTTATTCCGGCCAGAAAAAAAGCTAGGTCAGTCAATTTTCTTATTTACAGAACCCCTTTAACATGGCCAGATAGCTAAAATAACACCATTTTCTTGCAGGAGACAGCGAGTAAACGAGAGCGGGAAAGATAGCCCAATCTTGGTTGTGAGGCTCTGCAACTCTTATGTATGTTAATACCTGTCCTTTTGCAGCTTTTTTCTTTTCTTTTTCCGTTTCTTTTTCGGAATCTTCACTCTCATCTGACTCCTCTTCTTCCTCCTCGCCTTGTTGTGCACCAGTAGAAGCGGCAGTTATGACGTTGGAGATGCCGTGTAGAAGACTGGCGCCGACGTCTTGTAGGACTCCCGGATCTGTAGAGCCAGAGCTCAACTGAGATGAAACAAAGTCTGCTGTGTTTTCTAGAAGGTTCACGGCGTTTTCCTAGAAGCAAAATAAAAATATGAAGACAACATCTCAACATTCACAACCAACAATCTGTTGTTAACATCGTAGCTACCCGCAAATAACGAGACTTAATCGTGCCGCGTTGTAGAAGTCATATGTAGATACATGCACTCACCTAACAATTTTAAAAGTTCAACAAGAAAGGACCAACTCTAGGGTGACAACTTCGTGAGACAAAAAATGACATTGAAAATAATTCACGAACAATCAATAGGTTTGCCGTCAAAGTGTTGAGTGAACAAGAAGTGTTTCGTGATAAATGATGTGACCGGGTGTGTGCTTGTGCAACTTCCCGATTGGTTGGTAAGAACTAAACCTATAAGTGTTCGAGTATTCCATTCCGTAACTGTAGAGAAACCTTTGTTTTACCCGAGGCTTGTTTGTTATACATCTTAATTTCCAGTTAGAGACAAGCTTCAATGTAAACCGTTTTAAGTAACAAAAGTTCAAACCTGTGAATTCTGCGATATTTCGTCCTTCTGCTCGGTTGCCAAGGCGACCACCGCTGCCATCTGAGTGACCTGTTCAAGGCTCGTAACTTTAACATTGGACATCTGGTTGATTATAGTGTCTTTCAGCTGTAAACAAAGAAAAGCTTTGTTAGTTAAGATCTCGGCAAACGTCTCTCTTTCACTGAGCCCTCCTGAAGCTGTTCTTTCTTGGGTTTTTACCACACATCGACCGCCGAACTCAAAGCAACCTCTTCCAATTGTTGCTCCTGCCGTTGCTTCGAACAGTCTCGTCCTGTCACGATGAAGTCACGTAAAATAGTCGCCCTCTACCCTTGCATTCACAGAGAGTAAGCCTTACGTCAATTTTATTGTCTAAAGTTTGAGCCAGTGGATGAAACCCTACAGTGTGAACATCCAGATGAAAGCTATTGCCCACTTTGTTTTTCACACGACAGAAAATGAAATTCGGGATTTTCTTTTGTTTTTAACTCAGGCACGATAAGTAGGAACACGAGTGTTGAAGGAAGAAAACCAGAAAACAATTTCACAAATAACAAAACTAAATTGGCAGTCGTATCAACAATTTGAAAATAAGGGATTTGTTCAAAATGTTAGAGTCTGGAGTGTCGGCAAATCTAAGTTTGATACTTCCATGGGTAAAGCATGGTTGTTTTTGTTAAAATCCTAAGGGCCATTCTTCGTCCCATGTTTAGGAAGCCAGAGATTCAAACGCAGACTTTGATTTTTACGTCATAACTAGCTCATAAACACTTTATATTAAACGTTTAAATCGATATCTAAACATTGGGAAGGTTAAATTAACGGTGTTATTCTTGAAATCAGTGTTTAAAGATAATTTTTTGATTAAAATAATTTAGTCTGGTCTCGGAGGATCGCAAGGAAGTTTGCATCAATTTATTTCGTATGTGTGGTTGAACTTACAATATTTTTTATAGTTCTTTGGAATCGTCTAAATTAATTCTCGAAAATTCTCGAAAACCTTTCATCGAAAAAGCGAAAAGAGTGAGTGATACGCGTTAGTGATAATTGTACGCACGATATTTGGTAGAGGAAATTAGTACGTTTTTTGAAAAATTCCCCCCTAAATTTCTGATTCTTTTCGCTTTCCAATCAGAATAAGGTCAGTGCTCCATAAAACGGACCAGCTCCATTTAACGGAAGTATACCTACTAAACGTCAGACAACAATATTTTTCATTCCACCAATTTTCAGTTCTGGAAAAAGCCTCTGTATGAAAGCGAGCACCGCGTAGACCTGCATCATAACATAGTGGTGCAGGCACACCGTTGGCTAGGGTTGGTCACAAGTAAGTTGCATTCCAAGAGACAATATTTCGCCGGCTAGAAACATTTTTATCGCATAAAAGAACACGACCATAATCTCGCCAATTATGCCTTGCATTGAGAGCAGCTTTCATCTTGGATAAATGTTATAACAGGTTTTAGAGGGGAACTAGACCGCAAACAGTCCAAAATGCACATGACAAAAGTTAGATGTAAGAAATTATACATAAATTAAACAAGTGAATGAAACTGAGTACATTAACAAACACAGAGCATTTCATGAAGTAGGACCGACATGTCAACTCTAAGAATTCAGTAAACGAGTATTCCGAGGAAAAATTTTTCAATGCTGTTCAGCTGTCGTTGTCGTTGTCGTCGACAAAAGTGAGTCAGGTTTGTCAAACTGAAAAGCTGTCTTTACAAACAAACACAATTCTGAACACAATAGCACAGATGCAACCTGTTCCAAAACAAACAATAGTAACACACCACAACAACAACAAAAATATTTATTATAATTTAATAACTGAAATGAGTGAGATTACCAACACAACTGAGTTAAGTTAAATACAAACAACAGGTGTCAACAAACGAAGAAACCAAAAGTAAACAAAAACGTGCGTCAGTATGTGAGTCACCCTATACTTACATTACGGACAGATGTCTTCGTGACATTAAACTGTGAGCGCAAAACCGTTCTAACCACATCGATCTGTGTGTGAAAAGGATGTATAACATGGTCGAGAATTATCGATAATTACTCGTGATTGATCGTGACAGTGCTCGTTCCAGGTGCCGAGTGGTGATTCGTGAGATCTTGTGGCGGATCGTGGCTGATCGTGCTTTTAGTGCGCATGATTACAGTTATGCTCTATGTTTATGTTAGGGTTAAGTTTAAATGACATTTAACGTTTTCTCAAAAGAGTTACCTCACGGATTAGAGATCGTAAATAACAAAACGGCCGTTAAAGCTTGGGAAAAGGAAGTCGCCAAATTAGTGTCACAAAAGATTTTTGACGTTCCTTTATCGAGACATAGTTCTTTCAAGAGCTTTTGCAACATTTGCCTTCGTTTTCTGAAAGTATTCTTAAGATGTTTTTTCATAATACCGATTAGGTGGATTATTACTTATAAATCAATTGCTTTTAATTTATCAGATCAAGGCCGTTGATTGTTGAGAAGAAATTCAAGGAGTAGACAATTGATTGAATGCCGGCAGCACTCAGTTGAATTAGGGAAAGTAATTATGTTATGTGCAGAACGAGCAATAAAAGGTGGGCGAAGAAGAAAGAGAGGAAGATTGATTAGCCAAAAGTATGGTGGCACGAGTTACACCTGTAGTTAAAGAAACTTCATAAAAAGGCTGGAATAGGAATGGAATCAGAGAGGCACAGTGACCTGCCCTCAATTGACAGTAAATTGCAGACAAATAATGAGTTCGATTCATTTTAAAGCAGCTGTTCTAAAGAGAGAAAGTGGCTAAAAAGAAAGGGCACTGAGGTTGTTATACAAAAGTTGACGTTGGAAATGAATACGTGGACACAATTACAAAAATAAATTTCAAGTGTAGTTGCAACTAGACACCACTTCCATAGAACGAAGAGCGGAATGGTTCAATTCTGGTTGGAACAAGAAGAAAGAGCGCAACCTAATCACACAAATGAATTAGTACAACTGTAGAATACTGTTACATCAGAATGGGACTCGACGTGTACAAGAATGATAGTTCATCCCAAGAATGCATCAAATACCATGTTACTAAGGTATAAATCACGAACCCACGCATTGCCCTAACCTGAGCACCCGAGGGTAAGAGGAGTAGAGGTCGACCTAAGGAGACATAAAGGAGAACTGTGGAGGGAGAGAGGCAGAAGATGGGTTTTGCCACTGCGAGAAACAGAGAAACAGAGCAGATTGGAGGAGATAAGTCAATGGTCCTATTCTCCCAGGGGAGAGTTAGAACTGATGATGAAGGTATAAATCACAATGAAACTCGCTCTGAGCTAAACATAAAGTAAAGCCAGAAAGGAAGAAGCATGGCGTTCCAATACAGCAGGGCGAGAAAAGAAAAGAAAAGATATTGGATTACAATATCCCTAACAGAAAGACAAAGCTTTCCGTTTTTAAATTTAGGGGTAGGATTTTGGTATGAACGTCAACTGTGGAATACGACCTAACGTTTTTTATTGATGGATTGAAGTGGTTCAAAGGAAACGCAGATTCTTAATTCCGATCAGTTTTAAGGTGTGTGGGTGCAAATTAAAATAGAGGATTTACATTAATTCTTAGTAACATATCTATTATCAGCTTTCTGATCTAAAAAACAATGCAAATCCTTTATTTTCCAAGAAAAAAACGTGACAAATATTTCATAAATGCTTGTAATGCATTCTCACTAGAAGCGTGCTAAAAAGTCTCATGGGCCATTTTAGAAACGAAGGACGAATGGACAGGTAAGAAATAACCAAAGTCTAATTTCGGAAGTGTTCTACCTAAAAAAAATAAACCAAATACGATTTTGAAGAACCCCCAAAAATTTGGAATGATAACTTCTTACTTAACGAGAAATGCGATTTAAAAAAATAAACTACTAGAAGTGACTCGCAGCTTATTTCTGTCCACATGAAGTTGCAGAACTTCGTTTAGAAAATTTATGACGTTTCAAATTAATCTAAGTAAAACGCCATGGCGATACACGTTAATCACCATTGATTCTTCAGTGAAAGTAACAGAATCATCTTGTCAACAAAAACATTTTTCCGAATGAAACAACAATAACTATTTGAAAATCCCACTCTCCTTCACAAGCTCTGTTTCTAAAGTGGCCCGCATTGTTTCTTCGTTACATTGTAAGTGCTCTTTCTAAAGAACAAGGGATAGCAGGGAATTATTTTACTTACAGATTTCTTGTCATTGCTGTCCATTTGGCCCTCACTCGTATCCACCATGGACAACACAGCGTACGCCATTGTAGCAGCTTTATCCACGTCACCTGACTTAAGAAGATTACCCAATGGGCTTTCCTCTCCACTAGCAATGTTCATCAACGTTCCAGAAACGTCCTCGGCTGGCATTGCTTCAACCTATAACACATAGGTAAGGTAAAGGTAACGTCTACATACGAGCCAAGTGGCCCATCAGGCAGAAGTTTATCCTGGTTTCAGTAGCATGAAGCGACTATGAATATTTCTACTCCCCCCTGAATGGGATGCTAGTCCATTGCTGGGTTACCCCCAGCATTAAATTCGCCAGTACCCATTTGAACACCTGGCTGGAGAGAGGCACCGTGAGAGTAAAGTGTCTTGCCCAAGAACACAACTCCAACTCCAACCCGGACCGCTCGATCCGGAGGTGAGCACAGTAATAGACCTTGGACCAATGCAGTCTATAAACATCATCCAAGCAATGTACGGTTACCCAATTTGTTAAATATGAACTACGATTTCCATAGCTAAATAGCCGAAATGAAGCCCGCTAGAACGTACACCAGTCCAAGAGTTTTTTGTACAACCCAGAGTCTGCTAAAAAAAATCCTTTCTCTGACAGAAAAAAAAATGTGAAATAGTTCGGGAATACTTAGGGTATTTTCAGTCACGGGAGAAAAACCAGTAAACTTGTGGTGCTGTGTAGTCTCAGTAAGGTGCGGACTATTATATTTTTTGGCGGGGCAGGGGTTGGCCAATAACCAAAAAATATTCCAGTACAAAAGAAAAACACAACTGAAAATCGTGCAAAGCAAACCAAGCAAAACACATGAAGCAAATCGAAAATAAAAATTCTTCCACCAACCGACACTGAAAATAATAGCTTGATCGGAAAATTGCTCACCCCACCCACTTCTCAAAAATATAACGGTCTGTTTCTCAGCTACGTGATTATGGAACTTAAAAAATTTAAGGCACTTAAAAGGGAAACTTGATATCTCTGAATTGGAAATGAAAGAGGTCATTGTTACCATAACAACCAGAATATCCAGTGTCCCAGCTCCAAGCGCATCTATGATCTCAATTTCCAAAGCTATCGCATAGCCGTGCAGTGGATTCCCAAGAGGCAGTCTGGTCGTAGCGTTGGGTGATAATCCCTTCTGCATTACAACACCGCCAGTGTTTGTGTGATATCTGCATAGCGAATTACACAAGAAACAGTCTCGTTGAAAATCTCTTTGAAAATCTCTTTTTTACCACTTCCGTTCATTGGCTACGAAATATCGCTTCTTCACGACTAAAAACAAACCGGCTTGATTAACTAATTCACAAGCGAAACCTAGGAAGCGTTAAGGAAATCTTAGCCGAGGTGTTCGCGGACTATGGCACATCTCCTATTGTACTCTCTTGCAATAAGCTTTAGTCCGCTCTAAAAGGAGCCCAATCACGGCATTTTGAGTTATTTTGGCCCCGGTCAAAACTACCGTTAAATTGTAGAAAATCTGAAAACAGTGCTTTACTAAGATAGAAAAACACCAAATAGATACTAATAAATCATAAAGGAACAAGGATGGCTGAGGATGGAGAAGATAAACACGGATTACAAATGACGAACTTTGAAAATTTAGCTTAAACTTTTCAAGATGCGCGAACCGTGACGTAGCTCCTTTAAGGGAATGGAATGGGGAGAAGTCACTGCACATTAGGCCGGGCAAATTACCAAGTGAGACAAACAGGACTTTCACCAAAACAAGTACAATCCTAATGGCTTACTTAAACTCGTAGCTTAGAGGCAAATCTTCATCATCCCATCCGTCACAGTAGACGTAAAATTCTGTGGTCACTGCGTATCCCACTTCAGGAGATACGCGGCAACCTTTGTCGTAATCAGTAAGATACGGCGCAGAGTTGGTTTTGAACGTGATCTCGCTCTCCTCCGTGGTGTCGTCATCCAGGTGAACTGCGCCTATCAGTCTGTAGGTTGCGTCATCCAGTAGCGAGTTTTCCCAATCGTTTAACTTTCCTTTGAATACCAGACTTGGACCGTCTCGTTCCGTAAGAATCCTATCCTCCAAGTCGGTGACCGCCAGCCACGTTTCGTTGACACTAAATGGGTCGAGCATGTACAATGTCCAATTATATCCCTTGATTGTCTTGCAGGACAGACCTGTGCACGTGGACTCGATAACCATGCGCTTATTGGCGGTCACTTTGGAACCGCAATTAATTTTGCATCTGTTGAAAATGAAAATGAAAAGAAATTTTTGCATCTATAGAAAATGGAATGTTAGCGTGAGCTATACTGTTGGTGATATTTCAGTTCCTGTTCTAGAGCTTATGAATCTGAGCGATTAATTAGAGCGATTTTGTTTGCAGTCCCCTGGATGCAATTTGGTCGCTTTTTTTTCTAAACGAAACGTTACGGGAAGTAACACATAATAGAAAATTATGGAATTTTGTTATTTTTTAATCAGATGCTAGGCATCTTCTTTAACCTGGTCAATCAAACCATGTTCTCTAACGCCTACTTTCCACTAGAAACGGAGTCGCAGTCGGAGTCGCAAGAGCGCTAACGACCAAGTGAAAATCGAAAATCGGAGTCTTAAGCGGAGTCATAAGCTCGACCGCTTACGACTCCGTCGCCTACGATCCCGTGAAAGCTAGATTGTTGGAGTCGGAGGCAGAAGCGGAAGAGTCTACCAATCACGATGTCTGGAATCCAGCATTTAATTGTGATTGGTTTTACTTCGGCTTCTGTTTGCGACTCCGACAATCTAGTTTTCACTAGATCATAAGCGACGGGGCCATAAGCGGAATGGGTGTTCTGCTTCCGACTCCGTCGATTTAACTGCCACTAATTCGCACCGCCCTGCGCTTCTGATTACAACTACTGAAAACTTGCCTTAAACGTTGCTGTCTCACCTGATAGAAAATGAAATAGAAGACTCAACCCTTAGCGTGTGATTAGCAGTAGAGCTTCTGTTTTCTTTCTGAACGATAACCATAAACACATAGGTATTCTGCGAGATCATTTTGTTTATGTTAATCTTGACTGTAGGTCCCGTATGATTCAGCTCGCCGACACCATAACCGAAGCAGCCTCCCAGAATCCTCTCTCGTCCGTAGGAATGGTCGATCGGAAGCGACTCCATGTTCGAGAAATCTTCGTCCTCTCTTCGGCAAAGCCACGTAAATACAATGCCCTGGTCCTTCAGGGTGGGTTCATTAGGGTCATAGGAATCTGTAGCGTCTAAAATTATCGTTCCAGTACCCTTGACCGCTTTGCTAACTCCTCGTATCTTAGCAACGAGGTCCGGTAACACCACCTTAAGGAAACCGTAGTCGTAATTTATCGCTCCTTCCTCTTTGTTCATTTCGGCGAATAATCTTACGTAGTATAGACCTGGCGACAGCCTCTTTGGAGTAATTGTGAGGTTTTCAGAACCCACATCAAGAGTTTGGCTAACGGAGAAAGCTCCGTTTTGCTCAGACGCCTCACTGCTTTCCCAGGACAGTACCATTAAGGATGAAGTATTGCAATGTTTGGTGACTTTTCCAACGATCACAAACATATCTACTGTTGAGATTGTTGTCGCGTTTACGTGTGTCTTGTTGAGGTGTACGTGTACCTCTGGCGGCCGACAAAGAAAGTCCACTGCCAAAGTAAAAGAGTCACATTAATTAACTTAAAGGAACCCAGTCACAGTATTTTGAGTAGTTCAGGCCACGTACAAAATTACCTTTATATTGAAGGACACCTGAAAATAATAGTTTACTAAGATAGAAAAACAACAAAGAGATGATAATAAACCATAAAGGAACAAGGATGGTTAAGGATGGAGAAGATTGACACGGATTACAATCGACGAACTTGAAAATTTTATGCTAACCTTTTCAAGATACGCAAGCCATGACGTAGCTCCTTTAAGGCTTAGAGCGCTTTTCACTTGAGCGTCGAAAGTAATTGGCACTTTTTTTGGTTTTGTATTGCTACGCTACGCGATTGGCTAAGAAAAACTTGCACCAATCAGAAGTAAAACCAAAACCAACCATAACTAGCTCGAACACGTTTTCCCGCGCTTCGCGTAAGCTACATGATTACACGGGGAGGGGGCTTCATTGCTATCATGGATAATCTTTCTATGTCCTTTGTGACTGGCCAGAGTGATTATTGTAGTTTTAGTTTTCCTACACTCAACTGAAAATCGCTCTAGTGTCAAACGTTGCAAAATCATCGAAACTAATTCAGATTAATTTTTAAATGCGGTAATTAAGCTGATAAGAATCGTCTCTGATGGACAACATTGACATTCCTTACTAATATAACGGCCTTGCGTAGCACGAAGAGTATGAATCGGTGGGACGGCGTTTCAATCAAATACTTTTTAATTATGCGTTATAGGAAATCCAGGATTGCGAGTGAAATTTGCTTAAGTACTAGAACGAACATTAAATCCAATTGCATGAGAAGAACAGCTAGATTGTTTCTGTTGATTTCTGTTCCGGTTGCAGGTTCAAATAGGCTCAGACAAATATTCGCAGAAAAGTTTACTGAATTTCGAGAAACAATTCTTGCTCAGGGGCGTATCATTTATGACAAAGTTATCCTTAATTGTGTAATTGGTAAGTACTCACAAGGATGTCGCCACACTAAGGACAATAAACTTCGCCAATTTTGTTTTCGTTTCTTACATAGAACAATTGTAACGAAGAAAGAACTTAAACTATATCATTTAGCCGAGGACAATAAATGTATATATTGCTTTAACGCGGATTCAATAGAACATACGTTTATTGATTGCAAGGAGTCTGTAAAACGTTATTCACAAATTATATCATGGTTCAATCATTCTCAAAGTACTGAGATAATACTTTCAAAAGAACAAANAATATATCTATGCTTCTAAATATCTTCAGAAAGAATTGTCTCTAGATGAACTTGTAAATAAACTGATTGTTCAATGGAAACTAGAAAAATGTGCTTAAATGTAAAATCGCTTATCTAAAAAACACCACTTATGGGGTATTAAGTTGATTAATTAACAGAGTTATTACAATACAAGGTTAACGTAGTAAATCCAAAAATGCTCTCAATTAATATCAATAATGTAGTGTTAAAAATTGTAATACTTAAAGCTAATGCATAGACCCCCCCTTTCTTTTTTTTTTGTATTTGTATATTTTTTTCTTGTTCTGTGTAGTTACTTAGCTGTCACGTTTTCTTTTTCTTTTATGTATGAGAAAAGTTATTGAACATTGTAAAACTTCAACAGTGCGTGTAAGTGTAATGTACGTGTGTTTTAGGTGTATTAATAAAGTGCTTCATTTAAAAAAAAAAAATTTCTTGCAAGAGTCTCAAAAGGACAAATTTGGAGAGAACACTGTAATGCTGAGCAAAGGGTTTCAAAATTCGTGTTTTGCGGCTACTTCCATAGTTTGAATTCCCTTGAAAATTTCTATGATGCTTTCTAGACTGTCAAATAAAAATATCCATATGGTATAAAAGAAATCTAGCAATTGAGTGAAGATAAATTATGCCTCAAAGGGCACTGAGATTGACTTCTCATACAGGCAGGATGCTAGCATAGTCAATTTTCAAGGCAAATTTGTGACCTCTTCTGAAAGCATAAGAGTAAAGCAAGAATGATACATTGTTCATTTGACATTTCTTCTTTAAATGCCATATGGTAAAAGTAGCAATGAAAGTCCTGAATGTGTCGCTGAATTCTGGGCAATGGAATCATGCTCTCCAGTGCAGCTTTTGTGTCAGCCTCATTCTCATGCCAACATGGTCACTTGATAACCCTTACAATATAAGCATGGTTGATTACACGGATGACATATGCCCAACAATACTTTCCTCAATCTCTGTCTTCGTTTAAGGGCTTTCCAGTGCAGCTTTTGTGTGAGCCTCGTTTTCATGCTAGCTTGGTCACATGACCCCAATAACCTCTTAAAATCGCATTTTCATATTGGAAACATTGATTTGCATAATTATGGTGATTTTGGTTCAATTTTATGCAAATAATGGATAGCTATGTACAATTTTAAGTTTGAACCTTGTTTCCATGTTGAGATATACAGGTCACATGTTCAACCCCCCCATAAATCCCATCTGAGCAAGTTCCAAAGTTGCCACCCAAACTTTTGATGTAATATATGGTTCCCTGAACACATTTAGACCACTGGCTCGCTTTTTCATGGAATTCCCACAGGACTCTATTTGGACTAAAGATGGCACTGTAGTAACTTCTTGCACCTTCTTGCAGCTTGCAGTAAGATTCATAAGTTCTTGTGGTTAGGTTTTCAACTTTTTGCGGTTGGACTTTCAACTTCTTGTGTTTTGAATGTTCTTGTGGGTAAACCGCAAAAGTTCTTGTGGTTAGATTTTCAACTTCTTGCGGTTGGACTTTCAACTTCTTGTGTTTCGAATGTTCTTGTGGGTAAACTGCAAAAACACGACAATATTACTTCTTGTGGTGGCTTATGTGTTCTTGTGTCTTCTTGGGCCTGCATTATTTTTGGGCTGTACTGTAGGTCTGTTCAAGGTTTATTAGAAATACAAGAGAGGTGTGTTCAAAGGGTTCTCTTCACTTCCGTGCACAATAAGAATGTATTATCAAAGGGTTTAAAATTAATTCCCATACCAATCATGGAAGAAACTCACATTAAGCAACAACTTCTACAAGACTTCAAACAATTTGAATGGTGAATGTGCCTCAAATAGATATTTCATGGGCAATATAATGAGCCTCATCCCTTCTATGTTAAGTCAGACTGGGCACCATGAGTACAACCATCAGTTGCTCTAGAAAATTTTCTAGAGGAAGTGAAAACAGAACTCGCAGAGATTAAATTATCCAAGCCAAAACAAAACCTTCTGCACAAAAAATGTAAAGCAATCAGGGATTTGAAAACAAACTCTGAAATAAACATTAAAGAGGCAGACAAGAGAAGAACAATAGTCAAAATGAAGAAAAAAGATAAGATTGAAGAAGGCCAGGTACAGCTAGATGACAGAAACAATTACCAGCCTTTTGAAACACCTATGGTTAAGAATACATTCCAGAGAGTTCAAAATCTCATCAACGAACTCCATCGTAATAACCACATTGACGATATGACCAAGAACTGGCTATCTCAAACACCAAACCCACTGCGCATCCCAGTGTTTTATACGTGTACACTTATGAAGATTCAGAAACCGACACCTGTCAGGTGACCTATGATATCGGGTGTTGATTGCTTGACAGAACAAATATCATTTATACACTACATCCTTCAGCCAATAGCAAAATCACAGAAGTCGTATCTCAAAGATACAAAAGATTTCATCAATTCCATAGAGAGGATGAAAGTCCCACAAAATAGACTCATTGGATGTCACCACCCTAAACACCAACATCCCTTAAGACAAGGGTATTGACTCTGTATGCAGAGTATAAGAACCATTCTATCAAAAAGAAACTCCAACACCAACCCACGTGTTCAAAGAAATGCTTAGACTTATATTACGGGAGAATTCCTTCCAGTTCAATGGAAGAGACTCTCTTGAAATACACAACACCGCAATGGGCACTAAAATGGCAGTTGTTTTTGCCACCATCTTCATGTCCATGGTAGCAACCTAGATCATTAACCTGAGTGAAACTAAACCACTCGAATAGAAAAGATACATGGATAATTTTTTTTCCTTGAGGGACACAACAAAAGAAGAGATGGATGGTTTCATCTTAGAAGCCAACAGGCATCATCCTACCATTAAATTCATGGCTGACATATCTCAGAGAGGAATAAACTTCCTAGACACTACAGGATTTAAAGGCAAAAGATTCCACAAGGAGTAGGACATTTGCATGCATTCAAACCTGAAAATTTTCAGTATATGCACTTCTTGTCCTGTCGCACTCTGGGGGTGGCAAAAGGCTTCATCAAAGGGAAGTCGTTAGACTTCCTAGACCTAATTCTTCAAGAAAACTCTTTAAAGAAAACATCAACAATTTCAAGTTGCGATTACATAAACAAGGCTACCCAAATGACTTAGTTGAAAAGATACTCACAGAAGTCAAATTTACAGGGAGAAAATACGCGCTACAAGAAAAAGAAAAAATGCAGAAAAACATATTGCCTTTTTTCACACATTACAACCCATCAGTGCCAAATCTCAAGAGGATTTCAATAAGCAAATGGTATATCATCGGCAAACTGTCATACACTCCTGAGACTTGGAGAAGTTCTTCATGTGTTAGTCTTTCATTAAATGGTTTTGAATTTCCTTTTTTAAGGTGAGGGTGAAAATGCTCTGAGCATATGTATAATTAGGAGACTACTTTTTTGTAGCTAAAAATAGCATGGTCATTTTTG